GACCACAGTTCATCCCAAGTTTGGGGGGGCAATGCCACCCACTTCGGATACTTCAATCCTGATCATTCTTGCTTAGTTACACTGGTATACTCTTTCTTTTATTCTCTCTGCACATTGAGGACATTGTGCAATTTAAGTTTGGGGGGAATGGTGCTCTACAGTGTTAGTTTTAAATTCAAATTTTTAGCATGACTTATGTATTTGAGGGATATTTCTATGATTGGTCCATATCTAGCTATGATTTTGATCTTTTGAGGACTATATTGCTTAAAATTTAAAAATTGCTTGACTTGAGAGTCCAATATGCCTTGTGGATGCCATTTAGGAGTAAATTTTTCGAAAGATTGATATCTTGTTTGCCCTTATGGTCCACATCATCTTGATTTTATGATTGTTTTGAGATTCATTCTAGTATTCTACGCTAGCACAGGCATACACTAGCATTCATTTGTGGGGTACATGCTTTGTTAATTATTGAATTGGTTATATCCCAATTGAGCTAGTAGTGCATTGAAAACTTTCATTCTTGATAAAGGTGGATAACAACCCCTTTTCACTAAGTAGCCGGGATTCTAGCCTCATCAAGTACTGAACTTCTCGTGCCAAAAGGTAGAGGGCCCAAACTCTAGGTTAATAATTGAATACAAAAAAAAAAAAAAAAAAAAAAAATGTTGCAAAAGCAATAAAAGTGAGAACTTCTCTCAAAAAGTGAGAAGTGAGAAATGATTAGATGGAGGTTGTTTTGATTTGTAGCCTAGTTGATTTGAGCTTGTAAGTCCGTAGGGGTGTTTGAACACCTAGTGCCCTAAAGCCGTCTGGTTTGGGAGTCATTGACCTAACGCTCGACCTCATGAATCGCTAGAAAGCTTAATAGATCAACACATTGCACTATACTTCCATCTTTGATCCTCAATAAATAAAATAAGATAAAATAAAATAAAATAAAATGAGTGAAAAGAATAAGTGCACCTAGAACAATAAAGCTTTAATAAAAGATCCACTTTTTGTCTTGATGATCGGTACTAGATTTGTGTGCTAGTTTGAGGGTAAGGATGTGATTAATTCTTTAGTTGGCTTATATAGCAACACATTTGATGCCGGTCCACTCAAAAGGATTCTAGAGTTGTTTTGATTTGCATGATCATTTTCTTGATGTGTGGAGGACCATACTTCCTTGCTTGATGTTGAAATTTTGGGAGATTGCTTAGAAAGGGTTGAAAAATTGCATACTTGAAGTAGTTTTCTCCCAATGTTTGTTTGCAATATTGGTGCCTCTTTTGAAAGAATGAGCTTAATGTTTGTGGGTACCATTTCTGGAAACCCTCACGAGACTTCACTCGTCCACTAGGGGTAACTTAGGGGTTTAAAAGGCTTGTTGCATATGCTAAATGCAATCGCGCTCCCTACGAAAGTGGCATTATCCATTTATTATTTTCTAGATTCATACTCGTATAGTTGTTTATTTCATTCCTTTACTTTTTAGTTCATTGCTAGGAACTAGCAATATTTATGTTTGAGGGTGTGATAAGCACTGAAAAGTGCGTATTTAAACCCCTTAAGCTTAGGCATTCTAGTACCTTTATTTATCTTACTTTACCGTTTTAGATTGATTTCGTATTATTTCCTTTTTCAGGCACTTATCCCGAAAATAAGCTAACTTAGCCAAATAAGAGTTTAATTGAAGCAATTATGGGATTAATCAAAGAAATAAGCAAAGTGGAGAAAGAAGGAAGCAAATGAAGCCAAAGGTGGCAAGCAGCAAAGTTCGATCGATCTAAGTTCAAGGTTCGATCGATCGAACAATGATCGATCTCAGCACTTCAGGATAGATCCAAGCCTTAACCTAAAAGCATAAAGTTCCAAAAGTTCGATCGATCCAACACCATCCTTCGATCGATTGAACACTTTTGTCCTTATTCAAATGATTGATCCTATCCACAGCTATACCACCCACTAACCACTTTTGTCCTTTTCCCATAAATATCTCGGATTTGTCTTTTTCCAAAAAGCTCAGCCAGTTGGATTGATCCAGCCTAAGTTCGATCGATCTCACTTACTTTCGATCGATCCAAGTTCAAGATTCGATCGATCGAACTTCCTCTAGTGCGAAAAAGTTAAAATTCCATCTCATTGAAAGTTGTCATTTATCCAATCATTAGGAAATATTGTGTGCACGACCCCAGCTCATTTTCGGTGTCATTTTGACCTACCTATATAAGGATAAGGATTGCTTTTACAAAGGAGGAGGCAACATTATTTTTATATCATCTCTTGGAGAGGAAGTTTAGAGGAGAAGGAGGCTAGAGACACCATTGGAGACTCTTCATCAACAAGGAGCAGATTTCAATCATGGAATTAGCCCTTGAGGGTTGGAGCATCATCACCATGAGTGGCTAGACATCCTCTTGGGGCTAGAGTTAGCCCCAAGTATACTTTCTATATCTTAATCTTGTCTATTATTGAGGGATTAGTGTTGTAATTAATGTTTTGACACTTTTATACATATAGATCTTGTTTATTCAATGATTTATGTGGTTTAATGTTTCCAATCAATCATTTCATTCTATCCATATGTCTATGTATGCTAGAATACATGTTCATGTGTTTACCTCTATTTCTTGTGTAATTGATGCATGTCTATGTGTATTAATGCTATGGATTTTGGGATTGTCAAAACATTGCGCTTAAAAGAATGCTCTTGTGATTTTCTAGATGGTCCATGCTCATTTCTTGATGGATTATGCCTCTCCCTTAGCCTAGTTAGTTTAATTTCATACCACTAGTTTAATTGTAGTGTAGTGATAACATAATTGTTAGATGAGATGACAATTCATGCTAGTTGTTTGATGTTCCATACTTTTGAATGCAAGTAGCATATGTCTCTAACCTTGTGATGTGTTAAAGGATTAATGACTTGCTAGATATGTTTTGCTTCTCACATGCTATTTAGACAATATATACTTAATTGCTAGATATATTGTGTTTTTCACATGTTGATTAGACAATGTATGCTTAAATTAGTCATCCTTGCTAATTGAATCAACCAAGCACACACACACAAATATTGCAACACACTTTACCCTCATTAGTCACTAGTTGGAAGTGTAGAAAAGCATTACTTGGTGGTGACCTCTAAACCCCAAGATCTCTCTCTCTCTCTCTTGCTTACTCTTGTTACATTCAATCACTTAGCTTAATTTAGTTGCTCTCTAGTTTACTTAACCAACCAACCATTTGTTGATCACTCGACCTACTGACCCTAGTTGCATTTTCACATTCAAGTACGACTCCAATCCCTTGGGACGACCCCTTCTCACTCATACTACATAGTATAGGTGTTAAGCGGTATATAAATTTAACTATGATGCCCACTTGACACTAATTTCCAAACTCAAAGTGTTATGCATTATTTTGTGCACACCTAGGGTCGAGCCACCAGCCATCACCGAATTTAACCACGAACTGAGTTTGGTTTCGCCGACACTAGGAGCTCGTTGTTGCTTTATTGTCGCTTGGGAACACGCCGATATGAACTGGGTTTCGCTACTTGGAGCTTTACCGAAAAAAATGAAAGCTTATGTTCAAAGCTTGAGAAAGATGGATTCTGGTTTCGCATAGGTAGGTCGAAGACGTCGCCGAAGCTTGTACGTGGATAATCATGAAACTTCCAAACAAACTCTCAGTCCTGCCGTTCATCACTGCCAATATGGGTCTTGATGCGTCGATGATGAACTGGGTCTGCATGCATGAAGTTTCGTAAAGTTTGCTATACTATTCGTTGTCGCCGGAAATGAACTAGAGCACGCCAAATGTATACATTAGAAGTTCGTTGCTGGGTGTTTGATGGAGCACAATGATGACACTTACTAGGTCTGTCTTGACCTTCTCGATCTCTCGGTTCATCGCTGCAAGTTGGTCTAAACAGAAGGAATGTCGCCGGAGATGAAACTCGTCGTCGTTAGTACTAATGGAAGCTGTTGTTCATAGACTAAGCATCAACTACCCAACGGTAATGACCAAGCTGTTGTATAAAGCCAAACTAGAGTCAACAATTCTTGTAGCTCGCTGAACTATATCTCAACGAAATGGGTCTACTCGTTTCATGAAACGTTGATGGAAAGGAGTGCACCGGACAGACTGAACTTGTCGGTTTTAATGGACATTTGAACTGGGTACGTCGTCATCGGAGTGGGTCTTGACAACTTAATGTTCTTGTTCACTGTTGGGTCTACAACCCGCTCAGAGATGATAGGTCACTGAAGTTCTCCAGTCTTCCGTTCCCTCCCTACGATGACAACCACCAAGACGAAAAAGAAGAAGGCCAAAGCAATTTGAAGAAGAAGAAGGGCCAAACCCTTTTTAGTCATTTCACAAAATATTATTATTTATATATATATTATAAAATGTGTTGCTAGGGGCATTTTAGTCTAATTATATCATAAAATGTGTAAAAATGACCTATTTGTACAAATATCATTGTTTAGGGGTGTTTTTTGCACGTGAGGGGTGCAATATGCACCGTAAACATAATATAGGGTGTTTTTTGCACTTAACCCTATTTCTTATTTGAAAACATTTTAATTTTTTTTTTTCAAATCTATTTAACATTTGACATAAAATTTAATATTTAGAATTTATAAATTGAAAAAAGATTCTAATTACTAAGAAAATATTAAGCATATTGGAAAAGTGAAACGAAAAAATTAATTTTAAAAAACAGAAATAATATTTGGACAAAAAAATTAGTTTTAACTTAACAGGAGCATAACAGAAAGACTATGCTTTTTAAAATTTATATGCAAATTAAAATTTTTATAGTACTTATTGATATTTAAACCCCAAAAAGCATGTAAGATTTATAAATAATTTTTTTAGATTTATGATACCTTTGTCTCCACCCTATAACACGTGGCATACACTCTCTCTTTAGTCGAGTGGGTCTAACCTTTTTCCCTTTCGTCTATGCGTTTTCTCAACCAGTTAAGTACATACAGTACTCGTCTATTTCGGAGGGTGATTTTATTTTTTTGTGAGAGAGAAAATATATTTTAGAGAGAGAAGGTGTGGAGCTGTATAGCACATGGCTTCGTTGCCGCTGGGACCTCACCATCCTCCGGACCATGACCCCTTGAAGCTAGCGCTTCGCCGGCCGGAGATGGACTCCGAAAAGGTATTTTCCGGCAACTCTCCTTTTCCAGGCGACCTCTCAATCCTCGCCTTTTGTTTTCTGGAGCAAATTTGAGCTCAATCATGTCTAATTTTCTTCAATCTAGCTGGAATTCTTCAATTTTCACCCGATCTTGCTGTTCTTATACTATTTTTTGACGATCGAAGAGATTGTATGATTTATGTTAGGTGGTCTGGGCTCTCTATACAGTTCAGCTGTGAGGTGCTCTTAGACGTGAATTTGGAGTTTTCTCGTAGCTTCCATCAACAGCTGATAGAGATAGCACTACATTTTTGTTTCTGATTGTTATGCACTTAATGCTGTTATTCAAAATTATTACTGGTATTTATGAGCAATGATTTGTTGTTTTTCTTAGCCTATAGGAATCATAGTTTTTGATGTTCTTTTACTGTTTATTTTGTGTTTCTTTGCTCATGAAGTCTTGAACTCGTTATGGTCTTCCACTCATCTTTGAGATATTTGATCTTTACCAGGGTCTTCTTGTGATACAATGTTTGTTGTCTGCACTTATTTAGGTTTTAGGGTTTGGTACGGTTTGGGTTTCTACTCAAATTCTGCCATAGTTGTTAAAACTTTTTGCTCTTTTTTCTTTAGTTTGGTTGTTGTGCTTCAATTGGTTTTGGTTAGCTTCATGCAGTTGGTGAGATTTGATTCTATTTAAATAGTCTATTGTTTCAAATGCAAGCTTTCCAGCCTGTGATGCTTTCTTGTAGCCTGTGGTTATATCATATATTACTTTTCCTATGCATATCTCTTTAGTTCTTCTTGTTATTGCTTTAGTTAACTTCTCATCCTGAAAGCATAACATAATAATTTGGAGGATCTGTTATGGTAGTCAAGTCAACTTTTTTAGGCTAATTAGTGTGATGGGAAGTTATTGTTGTTTCTGCATCTTCTTCAGTGCCAATTTTGGTTTGCTGTTGTTATCAAGGATGCGATTTCTATGATGCTTTGTTAATGTACTTTGTATTTGTCTAATCCTCTGGTTTGGTTTGCATTGCAGGAAATGTCAGCTACTGTCGTTGAGGGGAATGATCAAGTTACTGGTCACATCATTTCCACTACCATTGGAGGCAAAAATGGTGAACCCAAACAGGTTAGGACTAGATTTTTTGTTTCCAGTTTTATTGGCTATTATTGTTGACCATGCAATATGCTGTCCTTCCCTTATTTCCTTTTTAATTTTGATTCTTGTTAAAAAAAAAGTATATGACTTGAAATTTCTGCACGCATTCTCTCCTTAGCATAGGTTGTATCACATATTAATTGTTGAAAGATATAAAAGTATTCTCCAATATTAATTTTTTAACACATCTTGTCTGAAAATCTGAGAAGTTAATTTGGTGAGGAGAAGATAAGGGGATGGTTATTTTCATTTCTTCTATTTCAGAAAGCTGAGGTTTTTATAATGCTTTTTGCAGACCATTAGTTACATGGCAGAACGTGTTGTGGGTACGGGATCATTTGGAGTCGTGTTTCAGGTTCCACAATCCTAGACTTATAACTACTGAAATTCCATCATTGGTTTTACTATCCAATGGTCTGATGTCATTGTCATCTAGGCAAAATGTTTGGAAACTGGAGAGACTGTGGCTATAAAGAAGGTACTGCAGGACAGGCGGTATAAAAACCGGGAGCTTCAGTTAATGCGCTTGATGGATCACCCAAATGTGGTTTCTTTGAAGCACTGTTTCTTTTCAACAACAAGTAAAGATGAGCTTTTCCTAAATTTGGTCATGGAATATGTACCTGAGACTATGTATCGGGTTCTGAAGCATTACAGCAATGCAAATCAAAGAATGCCACTCATCTATGTGAAGCTCTACACTTATCAGGTTTGACTTCTTCTTCTGTTCTGATTTAATTTTATCATCCTTTTATTTTCTGTAACATTATAGATTGATGCTTGACAGATATTTAGGGGTCTAGCTTATATTCATGCTGTTCCTGGAGTTTGTCATAGGGATGTGAAGCCTCAAAATCTTCTGGTATGTTAGTCTCTTTCTGCTTTTCCTGTCCGAGTTGAAATATGTATATGAACTATGTTAGTCTCTATCTGCTTTTCCTGATTGAGTTGGAATATCTATATGAACCTGTATTTTGCTTAATCTGCAGGTTGATCCTCTCACGCACCAGGTCAAGCTTTGTGACTTTGGAAGTGCAAAAGTTCTGGTACGTGTATGCCTCGTCAATTATGCTTTACTTTCTATATGATCCGTATATGTAACTGAAAAGTTAAGAGAAGTCATTTATGTCAAAGTGGTTCAAAGTAGATGAATGAGTGTTTAATTAAGCCCACTGGTGTTCCTTTAGTTGTTCTATGCAACTGGAAGTTGAAAAATTTATTCACAACCTATGATAATGGGCAATTAATATCTGAATCATATGATGACTTATGCAAAGCTTGCATGGATATACCATTAGGTGAGAGTTCTAGTCATGCAATATGACATGTCAGGTTGTACTAGCAATGCCATCTTTGAATTATTTTCCCACATTACCAAAAAACATTAAAAAAAATCTTCGAATTCTTTCCCCCCCTTTTCAATAACATACAAAATTGTGAAGTCCAAAGCATCTGAAATTTGCAGTTTTGGAAATGGAATTAATTTGTGGAATTTTATTGAGCCTAACTTTATTCCAAGTATACTGGCTAATATAAGGCTGGATGTCTAATTGTTTGACTATATATTTCGTTTTCATTTATTGCCCATAAGATTTTTATATGGGTCCTTCCCAAATCTGGGGTTGTGAATGTACCAACTCTCATTTCATTTAACTTAATGTGCCTAAGCTATTCTGGTTGCCTGGTTTCAGCTCGGTTGATACTTGGATTTTCTATTATCATGACATATTTGTAATTTGCATTCATTTGCTAATATATCTATGAAAGCATAAACTTTTTATTTTATAATGTAACATGGTATGAACAACCCCCCAACCCCCTCTTCGGTTTGGATGTTATGTTATTGGTTTTTGGGAACATTCATTTGTGGATTTAGGGTTTCATTAGTACTACTTAGTTGGGAACAATCCAAACTGTGCTAAGTTGACTGAAGTTGTACAAGGTTCTGCAAAACTATATCAAGCTAGAGTAGTGCCTTTTTTTTTTTAAATAATAAAAAATAAGCAAGTTTGGGCTTGAGCTTGCTACGCAAATCTATATCAATATCAACGTGTTTATAGTTCTGTGCATTATCAAATTAATTATATATATATATATACATTTTGCTGTACCATATGCATTTGTCAGGTACAGAAAGTTGGTTTGAAAACTTTGTTTAAGAGGCACGTTATTCCAAATTGGGATTTCTGTAAGAGTTAAAATTCATGATTTATCAGAATCACAAATCTTGCATTTAAACATATTTGTATAATTTTTAGATCATGTTGTCTCTTTAAGCCTGCATGTTTTTTAATTATCCAGATCGGGAATAGAAAATTTCAAATAATAAGATTAGGTGACCCCCAAATAATCTTAAAGTCTCATGATTCACGAATACTGACAAGTTTCTTTCTTCTTTTGTTGCTTTCATATAAGTACTCAATTTCTCACATGAGCAGGAGTGTAGAATTGAACAGCTCTATGGGTGGATTATGATATCTTATTTATTGCATGTGAATAGTTTGTTACATGTCTAATTATGTTTTTATGACAGTATGATTGTTTAATGGTACTCTTTTTGAGAATAAAGGGTGCGTGTGGCTGGAAAGTGAATGGGGGCATTGGAATGGCATAAGAGGGTTAACTGGGCAGCTACTGTTCCCATTGTTGGTATGTATTTGGAATGACACTTGGCTTGGAGGTGAAGTTAGGGCTGTATTACCTAACTTGTGTTTGGTTCGGGTGGTCAGTTTCCAGAGACCTTATAAGGGTGATGCTATTTACTATGTAGTTATAATGTATAACCTGTATGTGTCGATCAGGTACTTCACTCTTGTCATGACAGGGAGAGGTTTTGGCTAGAATTCTATTTTAAACCCATTGGTCCGTGGGGAAAAAAATATCACGAATTCCCAAAATCAAAGTTTTCAAAGTTCCTTAATGTTGGAATCATAGGTTAAAATGAAGTGATACTTTTACTTATCCCAAAAAATAAAATAAAATAAAATAGAATAAAAAATGAAGTGATAGGTTTGAAATTATGTGGCATAAATCTTGGTTTGCTGTTGGAGGTCTGGCAGTCCATGTTTCAATGCATGATTACTTAAGAGCATCCAACAAATAAGAAACAAATCTTTTCCATAATTCCTTGGTTGGAAATACCGATCCTCAACTTCTGTGATGAAATAAGCTCAAAAAGAGTAAACCTCCTTGAAAATTTTCTTCTTGAACTTTTGCCCATGTAGGATATATCATTTTCTTTATCCTATCAAACCACCTCCTCCAGAAATTTGAAAACAGCAATATGTAGAATCACTTGCCCGTAACTTTTCAATCCTACCGCACCCGTTGTATATATATATTTGTCTTATTCATGTATCAACTGGGACTCCAAGTCACTCAAAAGTTTATTTGCTGCTTCTTTGTGGGGGCTATGGAGAGAGAGAAGTGCTAGACTCCATGGGAATAATGCTCCTCAATCCCCTGGAACAGTGGCTAGACTCCAGCATGCTTCTATTCATGATATACTTAAGTAGTTTTTTGTTTCAGTTGTTTGTTTTGTATTGGAAATGGGCTTTCTCAGCATATACTTTGTGTTTTGTGATCTGATTTGTTCTCATTCCCGAGGGTATGCCCTCTGTGCACCTGTAATTCATTTATGAAAAAAAAAAAAAAATGGGACTACAAGTCATTCTCAAAACTGCATGAGTGCTCGAACTTCTTGTATGTGCAAATGAATTAACATTGATCAAATGGTATAAAATAATAAAAATGCAAAGATTTTGAACTCTTATTGATATTGTAAAAATAACAAATTGCATAAATCTGATATAGTACTTCTTTATATGTGGTTGTATGTGCTGTCATACATGTAACATGCATCAATGAGCAACGATCCTGAATAATGCTAATCCTATGTGTCAGCTTGGTTTACAAACCTGTGTTCGCACATGAGTATGCTATAGTTGATTATTGTTAAATGATTTTGGGGGGAAGCTGTGTGTTCAAGTTGAGCATTGTGCAGCATCACTCCTATTTAAAATGTTATATTGGTTATAGTGATTTTGGGGGAAAGCTGTCATACATGTAATGTCACACTAGGTGTTATAGTGGTTTTATTTTGTTGGTCCATCTTTCTCCTTAAAAATTGTCCGAATGATTATTATTGGAGCAAATTGAAGTGCACAATTTGAGTTCTTATATTTGCAAATGCATCTGGATTTTCAGCTGCATGGAATGGATGCACACTTTTTTTATTTTTAGAAGGACAGGAGGGTGGGGGTGGAAGGTGTCAATTTACTATTTTCTCTCTCTACTTGAGGCTCATATGTTTTGCAAATTTGACAATGTTCAAACAAATTGACCATATTAAATTGTTTTGGTGACACAATTCTATTGTAGATTTTCAGGTTATGTAAATCTCTCTCTCTCTCTCTGTGTATGCGTGCGCAGGTGCAAATGTGCCTGTTTGGGTCCTTGGGGAGGAGGGGGAAGGCTAATGGGGATGAATTATTCTGTGCGCATTATTTCATGGAAACCTGTTCCCATCTTACTAATAGAATAGAATGCCCGTATAGGATTTATTGATTCACTTATTGTGGTATGTTGTCCTTGTGAATATGTCATGACTGTTTGATGGAGATCTTGATGAGCCGTGTGGTTTACATACTTGCTATAGGTGTAGGTGTAGAGGATGATTTCAGGATTTCTTTTATATTTTATTTTTCTCATTTCTTTAGGGTTTGGTAGTAGAGTTTGATAAGGATTTTACTTGGTGCCTATATATATGTGGTTGTGAAACTGAGTGAGACACATTTTGATGATTATTGATAATTGAGATTGTCTTCTCCCTAATTTTTGTCTTCTTTCTAATTCTCTCTATTCTGCTTCTCTTCTCTCTCCTGTTCAACATTTTGTTGCTTGTATTCCTAAATTTGTGAACCATTTTTTTTTTTCAGTAATGTCGTTAATTGGATATTGGAACTGTATTTTGAGCCTTTCTATCAAACATGTTTATTGCAGTCACTCTGAAACTTAGTTTCAGAAAAAAAACATGTTCCCTTGAAACTAGTTTTTGAAGCTTTCATGGAACTTCTAAGAAATATTAAGAGAGACCACTAGATAATGTTCCAGAAACATCTGGATCTCATGAAACTTTTAAGAACACTTACAAAATTTTAGGAAACTTGTGAGCTTAATTTTCAAAGATGCCCTGTTTCTTTTAAAGTAACATGTTTTACAGATGAAATACTTTTCATGCAAATTTGTTTACAGAAAAAGATCACGTTCCTTTTTATTTTCTGGTCTTTTTGTTGTGTATTAAAATTAGTTTATTATTTCTTAGAAAATGCATGAGCTATACTGTATATATATAAAGGAGAAAATAGGCATAGATCGGTATATAGGCATGTATGCAAATCAGCATATATGTAGATGTGCATTTTATGTAAGTGTCTAAACATGTAATCATTGTGCATTTTATATAAGAGTGTGTAGGTGCATGTATATATACTTTATGCACATGTAATTGTATAGACATGCACACAGAAATATACATATTTATTGTTCGGGAATTTAAGTTTCTAAAGTATATCTGGAAAATGACTTATGAAAGAAACGAGTCCTTAAGCCATTTTCAGGTTTTGCAAGATATTTTCATTTTTTTCTGAAACTGTTGTAAAACATTTAAGAGGCAGCTGGATACTGAAAATATCATTAAAAAGGAGCAAGAATTTTTTAATTATTCTCTAAAGTTTACATTTCTATTTATAACACACTTTCTGTTAAAGTTTTTTAGTTTCTATACAAGGTTCCAGTTGCCACTTAATTTCTTATTGTTACATTTCCTTGTACTTTGAACAGCAATTCTAGCTTTGTGTCCATTTCTTTTCCTGATTTCATTCCCATTCTGTGTCTATTTCTTAGCATTTGTATATTTGGATTGAGTTTCTTATTCTCTCTTGTTTGTTTCGTGCATTCTTGTGCTACCTTGTTACATGCTCACGCTTTCTAAGTTCTTCAGTCATCTATGTTTAGCCTCTTCTTTCCTTCTTTTCTTTCACTTTTAGTTTTGAGAGCATTGAGCGGAAGAGATAATCTTGCATTTCTTCTAATATATTATGGCATTTACATGTGTAAAATTATTATTTGAGACATTTTTCATGGCTCGTGTTCCATCTTTGTGTGCCTGTTTATTAAATATTATGCTTCGTGGTGATAATCTTTTCATTCAATCTAACCATAAAACATTGTATTACTAGATGTATGTAATCTTTTAATGGGGAATCCAAATCTTACTACTTTTTTGATCTTTACTAACCACACTTCCTAAACATATTGCCGCATTTTGTTTGTTCACTCTTCACCTGCATTTAAGTATGACAGTTTTGCAAGTATGTTATTTTCACCAACATTTTTGTGGTAATCAGGTCAAGGGAGAAGCAAACATATCATACATATGCTCTCGTTACTACCGGGCTCCGGAACTCATATTTGGTGCAACAGAATATACAACATCAATTGATATCTGGTCGGCTGGTTGTGTCCTTGCTGAGCTTCTTCTGGGGCAAGTTAGTGCTTTGTGGATTCTATCTGTTTCTTTCATTATCCTGAATACTATTGGAAGTTTATTTATTCAATTATTGTTGTACTTATCGAAAAAAAAAAAAAAAAAAAGAAAGTTTATTTCTTCAATTATTTTTTGCTTACTTTACGTAGTTTCAAATTTTATCTTAGCCATTGTTCCCCGGAGGAAATGCAGTGGACCAACTTGTAGAGATTATCAAGGTGCTCCCACATTTCATGGGTTGACTTCTCTATGGATTACAACTCTGATAATCATATGATTACTTGTACTGACTTCAGAACCTTTTTACCAGGTTCTTGGGACTCCAACTCGAGAAGAAATTCGCTGCATGAATCCAAATTATACTGATTTTAGGTTTCCTCAGATTAAAGCTCACCCATGGCACAAGGTATGCAATTTGATTTTTATCTCAGGTACAAGTTTCTTTGTGGTTTTCTTAAAGTGGCTTTAGTTTGAAGATTAATTGTGATTCTTTGTTTCAGGTTTTCCACAAACGGATGCCTCCTGAAGCAATTGATCTTGCTTCGCGGCTCCTTCAATACTCTCCAAGTCTGCGCTGCACCGCCGTGAGTTTCATATTCGCCTTCTCTTCATTAAGTTTTATCATTTTTCTCTCTAGATATAGCCTGTGATCACCATGAACTATGTTTAACAACACTAACAACTTGGATGGAAACCTCTCTCTTGTAAATTTCCTAAACTTTTTGCCGCCTTTGTTGTATTTTCAAGATCCTTTTCTTTTTCTTTTTTCCAGTCAGTTCCTTTACTTTTTCAAACTAATATATTTAAACCTTTGATAATTGCTGCTCTCACAGTTGACTTGGTGTTTTTCTTCCTGCAGCTAGAAGCATGTGCCCATTCTTTCTTTGATGAGCTCCGGGAGCCCAATGTCCGTCTTCCAAATGGTCGTCCTTTGCCCCATCTTTTCAACTTCAAACAGGAAGTATGCCTCCTAAATATTTACTATTTTGCCAATTAAGGAAAAGCGAATCTTCATATTGTTTCATGTGTGTGAACCTATCCCCTTCTAATTCTTCCTTTCAAATTGATGCGTAGGTTTTGTTGCCTATTCCCTATGCCTTTTTTTTTTTTTACTGTGGTATAAATGATGAGCAGTCTGCCTGTAGAAGTAGAATCTACCCATAATGAATCCTCAGATTAAATATCATGCTAAAGATAATTAAGGCGGTTAGTTGTTGGTTTGGTACAGCTATATGGTTGATTATGCACTGTGGTAATAATATGGGCAAGTATGCTCCGATTACTGAATTTTTGCCTTTGACATCTTGCTCTTGGATATCTCTAAAGAGAGCTTAGCAATGAAACTAGAAATGTGAAGAATGCTTTAGATTCGAAGTAATTAGTCGAAGTAAAACTGAGTATATGGAATGTAAATTTAATAAAGATTCTCGGACATTGATAATCTATCTAATGATAACACTCCAAAACCAAAAGATTACTCAAAACAATTATTTTCGCTACCTAGGATCGATAATCCAAAATGATGGAGCGACAAATAGTGATATAACTAGTAGAATTGGAGAGTGTTGGACAAATTGGAGACAAGCAGTGGCCCGGTGGGATATTATGTTATAAAAAAATAATACATAGGGTAAGAGGAAAATTTTCTAGAACTGCTATTACACCATGTTGTATGGAGCAGAGTGTTGGGCTCTTAAAAGAAACAAGAACAATGTAGATGAGGATGCTAAGATAGATGAGTGGAGTGACTAGAAGGGATATGATCACTAATGAAAGTGTGACATAGAAATTAGGTATGGCACCCATTGGTAAGAAAATTAAAGAGAGTAGGCTTTGCTGGTTTGGACACATACATTGAAGACCTAGTGACGTGCCAATTGAATGAGGGAGACTAGTTGTAATAGAAAGTAAGAGGAGAGGGCGATCAAAGATAACATAGGATGAGATTATTAAAAATGACTTTAAAAAGTTAAATATAATAGGTGAAATGGTATGCAACAAAAAAGATTGGAAAGAGAATTCATGTGGCCGACCCCATTCATATGGGGGATTTAGTCAAGGATGATGACGATATCATCCTCATCACTTTGTTGGGATTGAATATCAATATATTACACACGCACATACCGTTGGAGTATTGCAACACTTTAAATATTTATCACTATTGCTTAAATGAACCTTATTATATTTTTTTATCATTTTTTTAAGGGTACAATGACCCCTGCTGAGATTTATGTATTTTATTTAACCAATCAACTAAAGAGGTAAATTTCATAATATATATAATATTCATATTTAGCATTTGATAATAAATATGAATTACATTTGAATGATACATGTAATTAAAAATTAAAATACATTTAAGGGACATTTAATTAAAATGTAGTTAAAATAATATTTATTTATTTAAAACAAATTAATAATTATTGTTTAGAATAATTTAATTAAATAAATTACAATTTTAATTTTAGTTTTAGGGTTAGGGTAACTACCACTACACTGCCCGCCACCACCAACACCAATCCACAACACCGCCACCCCAACCCTCCATGTTCAATCCCCACCAAAATTACCACTGATCTCACCTCTCATCTTCCCCGTCTCCACCACAGCCACCATTACACTAAGAAATACATTGGAATCCTCTAAATGGAAAAAACCGTCACCCAAATCTCCAAACCAAAATTCTACTCTAATCGAATTCCTGATCAAAACCAGACTCTAATTTAATTCCTGATCAAAACCAACCCACATGGAAACGCCATTGACAGTGTCCTCCATTGATCAACTTCCATTGACCCTCAAGCTTATTATAGCCAATGGCACAAAAAACACAATCCAAAATCTCCGACATATAGATGGTGACTTTGCAGTCTCTGGCTTACACCAACATCAAAGACCTCTTGCCGGCCTCACCGCTGTCGGTCATTTCGCTGATGTACAACCGGTATGCTTTGGGGGTTCTTCAACAACATCGTGCTAGCAACGATCAGAGGGTTGTTTTCGGAGGGAGACACAAATAATGGAGAAAATCAGCCTTGCCCTCTCCAATTTTCCTCCCCGACGCAATCAAAATGGTTCAATTGGGTTCGTGGTGGTACAATGGTATCTTCAATGCTAGATGATGAGATCAGTAGCTCCTGATGAGATCGTCGTGGTTTGATTCCATGAAGGGTTTGTATGTTCAATTGGGTGGCAGTGATGGTGGTGTAAGTGGTGGGGGTGGGGGTGATGGTGGTGGAAGTGGTGGTGATGGGGTGGCAGTGATAGAAGTGGAGATGAAAGAGGGAGAACTGAGGGAAGAAGAGCGATGGGAGAGATGGTTGTGGTGATGGCGGTGGGAGGAGGCGGCGTGGGTAGAGGCATTGGTGGAGAGGAGAGAAAAGGAAGGGAAAAAAAAATTGTTTTTTCATTAACGTAGGCAAACCGGTAATTTGATATAGCCAGATACTTGCTTTTTTGACAATATCATAATTGGGGCAAAAGGTTAAAATCACTCCAAAATGTAACCAGAACAGTAGAAGGGAGGTCATTGCAAAAAATTGGCAAAGATTTTCGCCGAATGCAAATAGGCCAAACCTCAAGTGAGGTGATTGTAGTTTTTATTTTTATTTTTATTTTTAAATTTGAGACAGTTAAATATATACTTTGTATGGAGATTTGTGTTACATGGACTCGAGTACATATATCGGGTGCGGGTGTCTAAATGTCTGGCCATAATTCCAAATGTTAGGATACGGTGGATCTGGCTTGAAACGTGTTCAAAAGTTTATGGATATGTAAACACTTCGTATGTGTTATAATATATGATGCTATTTCTTACAGACATATTCGTTAGAATTTGAATAAAATGGAATGTAGTGGGAAGAAAAAGGTTATCATCTATCTCAACTTTTTCTTCTTCTATTATCCCATTCCCATGTAGATGATTCAAATATCTGATTTGAATTTGTCAGAAACATATGCCGTACCCCTTACCCAATTTTGTTGTATGGCACTGGTTAAGCGAAATAGGAAAATTCAGTACTAGTAAAGTTTTGGATTAGTTGACAATAAAAGATGAGGTCTTAAGGTGGTGATCACAGTACATTGATCCTATACGAGTCTTTTAGTGATGTAAGAATAGTATTTTCTTACACCATGTGTATTTTGATCCATGATCAATGTTTTCTTTGGTCATCTGTAAGTTGTTGGGGGAGAAGGATTGATAACATTAATATAGTTGTAATCAAGTCTGAAGTGATTGTTGATTGTCTAACTTATAATTGTTTTTCCTTTGGTACCATTCTTCCCCATCTGGTTGTAGTTAGCTGGAGCTTCACCTGAGTTGATCAACAGGCTGATACCGGAGCATGTCCGGCGGCAAGTTGGCCTTAGCTTCTGTCATCCGGCCGGGACATAAGCCAGTTGATGTAATGTGGAATCAACTCTTTTGCCAGTCGATGGATGTGGAACTGATTGTTAGCCAGTGTTTTGTATCACCTGGTGTTTTGGATTAAGTAACCAGCGGTTGTCCTTGCCCAGCATATGCATATATTTGCTCTTCAGCTGAACCAGGAATTGGGTGATTCTGTTACCATGTCATAGCTAAAGAAAACTTTTCACCGCCACTGTACATTGTTTTGATCCTGAAGATTTCAAGAAAGCTGGGAGTAGAAATTGTAATGTTACTATTCATGTTTAGCTGGAAAGATAATATGATGAAACAGCAAGGGCAGTTAGAGCTCTTTGTAGTCTGGGTTGTTTTTACTTGAATGGTCATGTTTCTACTTATTCTGTTTGTTTTTGTGGCTTGTACAGTTGTACTACTCAATTTTACTGCCCTTTTTTCTTTTTTCTTTTTTCTTTTTTTTTTTATATTAAAAAAATGTGTTTTGTATTGGCAAGATGGTGCTACAAGAGAGGAGGGTGTGGTGCCATTGGGTAGAGGCAGCTCCAATGGAACAACCAGGTGCTTGTGGTTTTTTAGTATAAGATGGTGTATGGCATTGTATCAGCTGGTCTTGGGGTACTTGCTGATTACGATGAAACCAGGAGTTTAAGCATTTTTAGCCAGCCATGGGCAAAACCAATCACAACTTGAGGTCTTTAAAAGTCACTTCTGGAATCATGTTTCATGGTCAACTCATACAACTTCTTGAGGACAAAAGATAACGGCTGCTAAAATGTTGCAGGATTTTATGTAGACTATTGTGACCTTGGTCTGTGGGGGTTATGGTCTCCGGAAAAGGTTATCACAACTTATTTTTAAGTCTGTTTCGTGGCTTATAAAGTAGATTGTAGGCTAATGATGGAAGATTTGGGCAAAAATATGAAGACTTTTCTCCCACGGTGCATCACAAGTTACCGGCATTTTACGTCATAAATTGTTAGTTCTAGACGGATGCAACAAAGAAAAAGGCCATGTGTGTGTTCTAGTCTTCTATACTGATACTACAAAGAAAAAGGCCATCATCACAAGGGTGCTCGCAAGCGAACTTGCATTTTACAGCAGTTGATATAGATATATATATATATTCTTGGCAAGAAACACACTTTATTATTCGAATCCCTCCCTTCTGTTACAGATTTCTTTTTCAAGGCCATGAGTTCACCTGATATGATGGGGTAGACTTGATTATTATTTATTATTATTATTATTATTATTATTATTTTAAAATGTTAAAAAAAAAAATAATAAGTGATCATAATTTAAAACTTTTATATAAAATTAAAAATACATATGAAAATAATATTAGAATTAGGGTTGAGTTCTAGTTAATAGCACCTCAACCATGAATGTCTTCGTAGTCTAGCGGTTGAGTTGTTTCCCGATTTTTCGTACCTCTAATTTAATCCAACATTTTGCCTTGAAAAAAAAATAATAGCACCTCAACCAAAGTCCAACCCTAAACTAGGTTGAGAATTTTCAACTTAGACCTACCCTAACTATAAAAATAAAAAAAAAAAGTTGCCCAAGTATGAATGGAAAAATCACCTCTAATAGCAGCAGGATGACACGTCATCAAGTAGAAGGCCACAATGAGCATCCCATGTGCGCCAACCAAGAGAAGAGAATTAAGTTCAAGTTTACGAGCCCAATTCCAACGGCTCAATAACCAATGAAACGGACTGAGGTAGTATCCAAGAGCTGTGTGAACCGGCCCAGTTGATCAGCAACACAAGTCCCGCATGAAGAAGGGGGACATTGAATAGTTGTAATTCGTTTGTGTAAACTAATCATACAAGGAAACAAACAGCAAGCAATGCGAGCCCTAAACCAATTCAACCCCTTTAATTCATTATAAATAGATAGGAGTGGCAAAATGGGTCAAAAATCATCAACTCGTTCATATTCGCCTGCTTTTTAATGGTTATGGGTGAACCATAATTAATTAAAAATCAAAATAGATTGGATAATTTTTAACCACTTAATTTAAGGGTCAAAATGAACCATATTCAATTCATCACATAATAAACACACAACACACATCTATTCTATATTGTACTCAACTCATTTCTTTCTTTAAATTTGTCTCTCATCAATCCCCTCTTTCTCCAAATTTGTCTCTCATCAATCCCCTCTTTCTAAGTTTCTCTCTCTAAAAATTTCTTCTAAAAAAATAAATAATTAAAAATAATTTTTAAAAATTTAAAAATAAATTGTTTTTTCTATTCCCTACAATGTTATACCGTATTTGTTACAATTACTTAATTTTATTTTTATTCCAAATATTTATATCAGAATTTTTATCAATATTGTAATTTGTTGTAGTCTGAGTTTTATGATTCAAATAAATAAGCTTTCATTGTGTTTTTTTTTTTTATATATTAAAAAAATTAGATATTTCAAATGTTATTGGCGGTTGATGCTTTCACTTTTTAAATCTGTTTTAATTTCTTTGTCATATCAATGAGTCGTTATTTTATTTTTAATCTGTTTTGTTGTAAAATTGAACGGTCATGGATTTTACTGCCATTGCTTATGGCAGACATACTTCCAGCACTCTGTCACTTCACATTGGATTTTGGGTTATCAATAAATAAAATAAGTATATATATTATATATATTTGATTATATTATTAGACTATTTTTTTAATAAAAAATTTTTTAAAAATTAAAAAATAAAAATAAAAATAAATTAAAAATTTTAGAAATAAATTATTTTTTTTATAAATATAATTAAAAAATTTAAAAAATATATATAAAAATATAAAAAATAAAAAATAATAATTAATGTGTCAAGGGGTCATAACGGTTTGACCTTGCTCATTTTCAACTCTCCCATTTTTGACCCGTTCTGAACGGGTTGAATATGAGTCTTGACCCATATTGATCCGTCCATTTTCAACCCAACCCAAACCCGGCCCAACCCGCCCATTTGCCACCCTTTATAGAGGCCAAAGTCCTCATAGTAAGACCCGAGAGCAAATTCTCCAGTCTAAGCTTGCCTTTTTCTTTGTCGTTTATTGAGTATGTTGTATGATCCTCGTCGACTGTTCCAAGTCTGCGAATTTTTGCACATACATTTTTGCACCAAAGGAAAGGCACAATCTATACAAGTGGGAGATGTGGCGAGGGAAGGAAAAAGCTTTTGGAGATCGAGATTGATTTTTCATCGAAAACGAAGAAGGCTGAGGATGGCCTACGGTGCCGTGTTATCTGAAAGGAACACGTTTTTTCGACTGCGGTTGGTATGATTGCCGGGCCTTCTCCTCATTCCGCCTGCTGGCCTATTGGGATAGTCTATAGGAAGCTATATAAGTTTCTTACCCTTTTTCTAAGAATCCATTACATACGACATCATTCTGGGATGGCAACTGGAGCAAACGCCTTTCAATAACAACAACCGAAAATCATGTAGAAGATGTGTGAGGAATTTCAGCAACAGTTTGATGCCCTACATCAGGCCAATGAAGCACAGATTAATACTTAGCGTTATGAGAACAAGGTGTTATGAGCAACCGTCCAACAAATCAATGCACCACCACCGCCATCGGCGAACACACAACCAATTCCTCCGGGCTCGCAACCAATCAACCTCGTCCAGCAACCAGATAGCAATGCAGGCCAGGTTGTCCTCGATCAGCCAAATTCAAGAAACGTAAAGCATGCGGGGAAGCAATCCCACGCTAAAGCAGGGTCAATGCGATGCGAGTGCAAGAAGAATCAAAGCAAGATGCTAGAGGTGTTCGGAAACGAGCTAGTTTTAAAAGCTTTTTGAGGGATTTTGATCTATAGATCTTGATTCATCACATAGAGCCAAGTTTTATGCAAAAATAAAATATGATGTATCATTCAATTAACAGATTGAATACTTACATCAAAGGTCTGAGTAAACCTTTAAATCTTTCCTCTAAAGTGAATGTTCTCACTTATTGTAGATCCCTTAGCAAGATGTCTTTTCTTTGGATCTCCATCTTCTTGGTAATTATTTTGCCTTTAATAATCACTCATAAGCCTCCATGAATGACCTTGGAAAACTAAGCTTGTGGAAGCCTCTATTAGATGAGAACACTAACCCTAATTTTCTAGAGAGAGAAAATATATTCCTTTTTCCTTCTCCCAAAAATCACCCCTAAAATATACATAGATCATATATATTTATAGGTATCATAAAGATAAAGAAAAGGAAACAATAAATCCTTCTCAATCTCTAATTCACATGTCTCAAATCTAACAGGATTCCAATATCAAGTTGGGCTATGAGTAAGAATCTTTTGGGCTTATTATTTTATTGGCTACAATGAATTAATAATTGGCCCGGTCCATGGACCCAATTCATTTAATTCATAAATTAATTTCTACTCCACTAAAAAAAATTAATTGAACTCCAATTAAATAATAAACAACCTCTAAGTCAATGTTGCACTTTGACCCCTCTATGCATAATTAGTTATCGAATAAATAAAGCCATCATTCTGACTACTTAATTAATATATTTATTTTGGTACCATTGATTATTTCTGGCTCGATCACAATAAAACATTTGTTTGACAAAAATAATAATTTAAATAAATAAATATATAATAAATCATTTTATCTAAAAACATACGAAGGCCTTCGAATTTACTTTGTGATCAACCATAATCAATTTAAAATAAATACAAGTAGCAATGATGCAAATATTGAAAATATAACCTCTAACTATTAATTACATAATTACCCAAAGTGTCGGTCTAAGGATCCCGAAGTATCCGCCGAACAAATCAAAGTAATTATTAATTAATAAAAGAGTTTATACTTTTCTCATACTTAAGAGTCAAATGCCATGACGGTGATAGAGAGCAATTGCATACGACGGCTCTCGCAATATATCTCAACCTAACGCGGATCCAGTTCAAGTCTTAATTAATTATGAGTCCATCCATAATTACCGACTATGAACAATTTATGATTACTATTTATATTCATATATTGATCGCCATCACATACATATATAAATATCTCTTATAATCAAGTGGACACTGACTATCAATTCTATAATGAATCGAAACATAATACATTGAATTCACCAATTGTATGAAGCATAAATATTTCAGAAACATCAGGAACATATGTCACTATAATCCAAATAGGAATTTGCTATGTCAGGGCATATAAATCCCAACAGGAGGATCATGTCGAATCAAGTAGGCGAAACCCAGGGGAAGCTGAGGTGAATAATCTTATTGGCAACCTGCAGAACCTAAACGTCGGAACATACCTTCGCAGAGAGATGGGTGAATAAATCAAGAACCTGAAAGGCCAAACTCCTGACGATATGGTGGCAAAAATCACCGCTTCCATAGTCTGAACTCCGTTTACCAAAGA